AAACTTTATTACACAATACACGATAACAAGTTTACCATCATTTTTACAAAATCAACTAACAATGTTGTAAAGATGCAGGAAATGTCAAACAAACACTTTTATGTATCTTATTAATTAAATAATGAGACTGTTAACATGCCTAAGAATTGAATCTGAGGAAATGTGAAAAAAACAGCATTATTAACTTCTAAAATAATGGCCCAATTATGCTGATTTTCGAACTCAACCTGCGTTTTAGCAGGATTGACCACTCCTGTGAGTTTAATGACAATTGGCCAATTTGTTTTTCTTATATTGTGTTTACAGTGTTGCATATATACTGAAAAGTGAAAAAAAAGCATAACTACAAAAATAGTGGCCCGATCATGCTGATTTTCGAACTTGACCTGCGTTTTAGTAAGATTGATTACTCCTGTGAGTTTTATGACAACAGGCTTATCAGTTTTCCTTGAAATATGTTTACAGTGTTGCATATATGCTTAAAAAGTGAAAAAACAGCATAACTTCTATAATAATGGCCCGATCATGCTGATTTTCGAACTTGACCTGCGTTTTATGAATATTCATCAGCTCTGTAAATATAAAGCCAAAAAGTAAAACTGCCCTCCACTTATCGTGTTTACAAGGAAAGTGCACGGCGCCGGCGACGGCAATGGCGACGACAGACACAGGTGATGGCAATATGTACAGACACATCTGTGTCTGTACATAAAAATGAAAAATTAAAAAAGAAACAAGTGAAAAAACAGCATAACTTCTACAATAATGGCCCGATCATGCTGATTTTCGAACTTCTGTGTCTGTACATAAAAAAGGTAACATGTAGTCTATGGCCACATTCATGCTGAATTATGTAGAGTCGAAGTTCACTATTTCTGTAGCCAAGCACGACAAGATTCTTTAGAGTCTGTGATGATGGTCGCTGATTTGCATGAAATTCCTTGCATTATAAGTCCTATTTTATATTTTTTCTATTATGTATAACATGCACTATATATGTGAGAAATGTAAGGGGATGTGAAGAAATCTCCCTCTGGCATTTGTCAATGTTGACAGGTATGCTTCCTCTTATTCACTCACCCATTCACTCACCCACACATTCACACATTTGCCTTCCCACCAACTCTAGGATAGCAAGCTGTGTTAATATTAAGTACCTCCATGAAAATATATAACCTCCCTTAGCAAAATTTTAAGCTTCACGCACACTGTTTCTGCGGATGCGCAGCAGATTCACAGTAAGGGTTTCTGCGGATGCGCAGCACGCCTCATTTGCATGGTAAAATACGCACCTCCCGCACACTCCTTGCACATCTCCTGCACACTTCCTGCACACCCCCAACACCACAACCATCCCACTTCTTGCATACTTCTTGCATACCTCCTGCGTACTTCTTGCATACCTTCTGCGTACTTTTTGCACACTTCCTGCGCACATCTTGCACACCTCCTGCGTACTTTTTGCACACCTCTTGTGCACTTCTTGCACACCTCCTGCGCCCTTTTTGCATACTTTCTTGCACACTAATTTAAATATTTTATAACACAATTTAAATTTTATTCACTCGTTTTTCAATCAGTTAATATTAATTCTACAAAGACAGGTTCTGAGTTACATTTAAAGACGTGCCAACAGAAATATTGTTAAATCTGTTTATCAACAACAAACAAGAAATTACAGTCATATATTGTGCTTAATTAATCAAATTAAAAAATGGAAAAAAATCAGCAAAATCCAAGTCATGTCCATATTTCTTTTCTTTACGTCTTTCTGCCACATTTCTCTTCTTTACTCATCCTGTTCTGCTCTGTCCATCTAAAAAAAGAGTATACCAAAAAGTCTTACAAATTTACCACACTGCACAATGCTTAACATCCAAATCTTAAACATCCATGAGGAGGACAAAAAAACCATCAATATACACATTACTGTTTGAGAAGTCCTAAAATCAAGTTCAGGTGTTTAATGTTCATATAAAGAAAAGGTAGAAAGGTAGGCAGAAAAATGTCTTGGATATTAAAAAAAAAAAAACAAAGTGCTAAAACTGCTTTGAAGAATACTTTATATACATTCCTCACACATCTATGTTATGTTGAAATCTTAGGGTTTATGGTTGCATTCACTTTTTCACTTATTTTCAACATATACTTGTTAAATGATGTAATCAACTTGCAGTTAGTGTTGTTCTCTTTTAAAACTTACTCTGCACAGCTCTTTCAACTAGAAAATCCTTCACAAAAGAAACTGTTGCTGACAGTTCTTGTGGGCTGAAAAAACTCTCTAGTAACTTCTTTATCACAAAGGTACTTGACTTTTTCGTACACTTTGTGAGAGTTTCGATGAGCCACCAACTATAGATATTCACAGCAAAGTGTCCCTTCCAGTCTTGTCATGCCAGCTTCCTACTCTCTAGGATCACCTGAAATAAACAATTATTCAACAAATATCCATTTGTTCAAGTAACACAGTAAGAGACAGATTTTTTGAGATTCAACTGCATTTGAAGAAACATTTTGGTGAGCAATTGATCATAGTTTTATAAGAAATGAAGAGACTAAACAGTGATTGCATTCTATATCCTCGTTTCTTTGTTGGCTAATAGGAAGTATACATTATAAATTATAACTTATTTAATGTAATATAGATATAATGTTTACAATGTACACTACAAATTAGATCAATTTTCTCATTTTCAATTTGATTAGATGCCCAAATGATCCAATGCATTACTGTAATACATACCTTCCTCAATCCAATTTTTCTACACTCTGTACTCTTCCACTATGCTCCTGAATTTAAACTGGCTTGATAGTAAACAGCCTTCACTCATTTGCTGTTTGTCTCATAAACAAAGACTTAGACAGGATACCACACATCTGATAACACCAAATAGGTGGTTGTTGTAATTGGTGTAACAATAGCTGCAGGAATAGAGACCTAATAATAGGTGCCAGGCTAACAAAAGAAATTCACAGTTGTTGAATCTGTGGTTGGTGGAGTAGGGCATTCTCTAACATCAGTTGACTGTTAAACCTTAGGCTTAAAGTGTGATTGAGCATGATTTATAATAAAATGTATCTTTAAAAATATTAATTTGTCCTCGTTTCCCACCCTTTATGAGGGACAGTACTATACCCTTTGTGTTCACTTACTTTTACATTACATTATATATATTAGACTGGATTGAAATTTCACTTTTTAAAACAGCCGAGGTCAAGTAAAATCTGACTATAAGCAAGATTAAAATCTGACTAGATAAGGCTGACTTTCAATATAATAGAAGAAATATGAAGTTAGTAAATATCATCATAAAAATACTAAAAATACATTTACTGTGTTTTTATCTTTTTGTGAAAATTAACTAGCAAAGTCAAGATTATACTAGTAGGAGCCATGTTTAATTTACCACAACCCTAGATTTCATGACTGTTTTTGATACATCCTGATAATAATCTGATAAATCTGATAAATGGTGAGCATAGCATTGCAAAAGTTGTGATTTAGTGAATGAGTTTAAAGGGCTGATTAGGCATTTTTCTATTAGATGTTGTTAAACTTATATTGCCCTTCAACTTATTCTCATACTTTGAGTGAGGTAAACACCATAGTTTGTTAGAACAATACAATTTATAACTAGCTTTACATAATGTTATTGATTTGTTTGTTGGATTAAATTGGCTGGATTTCTCTCTGGCCTGCGACATAAATACCCACTATAGCTCGCAATAGTGTATTTCATAGTGTACTTGCCACTTATATATGATAATAATCAAAATTTTATATAAGCATTGATTATTTCTAATTGATGGATATAAAGTAAAATGTGTATGGAAGTATTTTGTTTCTGTAATTGTCAATGGCATTGCATATACATGTATCTTGTATTGGTACATATTTTATATAATCAACTGATAAGGTTTTTCCTCTAAAATAGCATACCCGATAAAATTAAAAGCTTAATTGTTGTATACTCAACTCACACAACTTAAAATTTCTAAGTTTCCTGTACACTTGTTGCACACTACTGACTCCTGACTCACTAAGTTTATTGCATGCTTTCTGCACACATCTGTTGAAAAACCAAGTGTCTTGCACATTTTCTGCACACTCATGACAGAAAAATTACATTTTCTGCACACTTGTTGCACACTCTTGATCAAATTTTAAGATTATTGCACACTCTCCGCATGCTTTCATTGAAACACCAAGTTTCTTGCATACTTTCTGCACACTATCTGTACTTATGGAAGTGTGCAGTAGGTGTGCAGCAAGAAAGAAATTTTATCGCACACTACTGCACACTCCCCAAAGCTGTCTACTGCACACTCTAGAGTGTGCTGCACATGTGCTGCACACTTTTCATTTTGCTAAGGGCTGTTACCTGGCCTGATTTCCTCCTTCAAACAATTTTCACTTGTTCATTCCCTCACTCACACAACTGCATGTCAGATATTATGGTATGTTTGAGTAATAATTATTCAATGTTTTACAGTACAAAATTGCTGCAGTAGGTTTCCAAGGCTTATATGACATTTATGTCTTCTATATCCGCCCACACAACATACATTAAAATGGATACAAAAGACAAGGCATTTAACAGATAAAGGTTTGTAATATGATCGAAACAGGTCACTTTTACTAAAAGGAAACCCCTCATGACTAATTACAAATTAAAACTAAGTCAATTAATCCATTGCAAAAGACAGATTAACCAAATAACATATTATTTAAGAATTAACAATTTTAAAAATTAATACATGGCAACAAGAATATCGATTGTTGCATATTAGACTGTATTGATGTAATTCATCAAATATCTTCACTTCTGGGATTACCAATAGTTTGAAGAAAAAAAATGACTGGATTTTATCCTTCCTAGTAATTTACAGATATCATAACACCTCAAATCAAAGTGATTTCTTTTTGAAAATTTCATCTCTGTGACAGACCATAGATGACAATTATATTTTTTTATAAGACTGGACAGGTGGAACCTTACCTGCATCTGTGTCCATGGATATGACCTTCTCTTTCGTGATGTCCTTGTGTGAACATAAGAAAAGCACCACTTCACCCTTTTCATTTTTGATAGGGACAATATCCAGTAAGCACCAAAAAGGAGTTCCTAAAATAAAGAAAAGATTATGAAAAGGGTAATATTTTAAATGTTTTCTCTGTAAATTTAGCAATAAAACAAAAGAATACTTTTGCATGATTTTCGACAAACATAGAAGACAAGTGATTTTACAACTGTATACTTTTCAATTTTTTGCTGTGATTGATTTGCATTTATTATTGCATGTAATATATTTTAATTGATTTTTGATTTGACAATGAGCTGCCTGTATTGGTATATGTCAGCCATTGTTAAGATAAGAAGAATTAACCAATGAGTTTTTTTTGTATTTAGATATCCTTGCAATGATAAAATCCACAACATTTTTTCCTGTACATATTTTTCAAGTATAAAAAATATGATGAGATAATATCTCTTTCCTTGCCGATAAAAAGTCAATGTCCATAAATAATTCAAGGCCAGGATGCAATAGGTGTCCATTTATCCCTGCATGGTCTTTGTGAAGACAATCATCAAGAGTAACTTTTTTGGTAAATGTCAATGGCACAAGTCACAATGCATCACTAACACAATTAGCAGTACTTCAATGACAATCATTCAAATAGTACTTAAAAATCAATAGGTTTGAGAATCAATGTGAAGTGAGTAACTTTTGTTTGATACAATTTTTCTGCATAATTTATGATATTTAATTGATTATTGAGAATGAATTAATGCACACTGAAAACATATATCTATTCTTTTTTGTCTTTTTCACGAAAAAAAATATCCAAATTTCATGGATTTGGGGTTTTCTATAAACGTAAAAGCCTCTGAAAGTAAAAGTATGTTAAAACTAAAGCATCCCATGTTTTCACCCTGTATACACTTTTTGTTTTGGTTCAGTAACTAAAAATGGTGAACAGGTTATAGAGGTAAGATTCTCTTAGACTCTGCAACTCAGTTTGATACTTTTCAATTTATCCATGGTTTTCTGATATATATATATGATATAAGGGGTATATGTGTACCTTGAAAAAACCTTTGCCATGCACCATAAGCTCAACTGATTTTACATATTTTCCTGCACAAAAAACATGTATCTAAGATGAGAAAGACATGACTGAAAAATAGGCTGATAAATAAACCAGTGTGGTGCTTGATTTGGATCAATTGAGAAGTTATTTAGAAAAATGACTCCTGCCAAGGCAAAAAACTAATCAGTTTGCAGATCTGTGGATAATTCCCATCACTGATGTTCAGCCCAACCTTAATCATGTACATTCTTTCTGACCTCTGATTAAGGTATAAATCTAATTATCCAACATCTGGCAGAAGCACATGTACATGGAATAGATAAAGCATGTAAACCAGGAAACTTGTCATTTTAACTCAATCCTACAATTCTAAAAATTCATTACATATGAAATCTTGCTTCCCCTTACTATAAAACATGTTTCCTCTGATTGATATTGGATATATAATGATGTAATGAATGATCTAGTATGCTCAAGGTAATTCACAGGTCTATCTCATTACTGTGAAAACAACATTCTGAGAAACCAATGCTCAATTTCCATCACAAAATTTCTTGTATTATTATGATAAATAGAATTTCCAACTCCAAAAGTGATTTTAGCCACAGAGGAACATTCCCAACGGAAATCAAAATCAGACAACTGTATGTTTAATTTCTTTGTGAAGGATTTCAAAAACATGCGATAGAATGAACAGAATCTCAATCATTGGATTGCATCATTTGTATATTCCAGTAATGTTATTAAATTCATATTATTCTCACAAGTTACCACTGCATGCATGTTGTTTAAATTATATGCATTAATATTTTAACTCATGAAAATTCATTAGAACAACAGTCAATTTAGATGATAGATTTTGGAAGTTTTATCCACATCCTGACATCACTCCAAATTGGCAGGCAGTTCACTTGGGAATTAATATATGACCCAAATTCCATCAATGAATATGATTAATGGAGGGGTTAGACAACTGATTATATCAAAAATCTTACACGTTCTGTGCACTGTAAATGGCCTGAGTTGGCATTTGAGCATGATAAACTTCACCATTACATTTTTCTCATTTCCAAAATGTTCTTAATCTAGACAAACAGTTAATATTTACTCAAAATTACAGGCACTGCTACCTATGCTGTGCTGATGGTTATCAGAGGAGACTGCACAAAACACAAGGCCATTTTAACGTTCAAAATTTTATGCATATTACTGTAATGCACATTGTATTTTCACCACCACAATGTATTTTTTGATTCAGCGTAACTCGTATACCGTACAGGAAATTAAAAAAGAAAAAAAAACAAAACAGACACCACCTCCAGTGTTGGGCTTGACATGCTCTATCAAATTTTAAAAAAAACAAGAGGTTTCTAGCATTAACAGTTCCAGAATTAGAGAGAGTTTCCAGTTTCGGCATCTAGTGGTCGCTGCTCCTGTGAAAATGCACTGATTGACCCCAAATTCACGGAGATGAAAAAGGACCCTAATGGTAACACCTGCCAATTATAGGTTAGGCCTGTGTAGTTTCTGAAAATCGGCACAAATATTTTCTTTTTTTTTTTTTTTTTTTTTGCAAAAAATTCTCAATTTAAGAAAATTTTAGCCCCTTTCACCTGGAAATAAAGGTCAAAGGTCAAATTCAAGGAAATATTTGAAATCTCCACATATGACTTTCGGTCAGGCATCTATAAATATTTTTCCTATAATTCCTTCGGTTTGGTAGATATTTAGCATTTAATTTTGCCAATTCTGGACAAGGGTGCATTGTGACGAGCACCACACCTAGACCCAAGTACCGACAAAGCCCAAATTTCACATAGATCAAGTTGAGATTATATGTGACCTACATACCAGAGATGGATAAAGGGGCTCTTGTATTCTAGGAGGAAAAGCAGTAACAAAGAAGTGGCAACGGAGCTGGCAGAGCCAACAGAGCCCGTGGACGCTAATGGTACGAACTAAAACCATGTGTACCAAATTGATCAATGACAATGAATAATCACTGTGATTTTGAAGCAAAATAGCAACATGTCACTTCCCAGTCATTGTAGTAACAAGAAATTGTCAAAACATGGCAAGCATACATGTATATATAAGGATGCAGGGGATGGCAATATGTGCAGATATTTCTGTGTCTGTACATAAAAAGCTGTCCATTCCACTGACTTCATTTTTATTTCATAACTGAACCAATTTAAAAGACTAAGAATAAATAATTATATAATCACTATCAGACATTACCAAAAAACAAACAGTTTGGTTATGGTTTTGTTTTAATTCAAGGTCATCATCCTCTACAACTGAATTATTTATATAAATTTGTGTATTTCACTGGCGTCAATTTTGGAATTGTTAGTTTTGTAATCTCTGGTGTACTTAAAAGCATTATAAATAATTAATTCAAATATCAACTTGATGTGAAACCTGCATGGCTATCATACACGTTTGATTCTCACAGAGCTGATGTAAAAAGGGGAAATAATTTTGTAATAACTTCTGAATTATCATCCAAAACCACCAGCATGTCAAAAACTACTTCTCTCAGCAGATATGACCTATTTCAAAATTCTGAAAAAAATTGAAAAACTGCAACTATAATACTTGTAATAATGGGCAATACAGTACTTACCATTTTTCTTGTAAAACAATACTTCTGTTTTAAGTTCTTTGTGATTTTCCAAGGCCATGTCGATTTCCATTTTTTTCTCCTCTTTGCTCTCTGGGCCGTACAAAAACTTACAGGCACAACTTTTTGACATGACCTGTGCCCGGGAGAAGCAAGTAAGTTCGCAGAATCCATCTGAACAGTAGACAATTGGATAGTTGATGGCCTGAGCATTTCCCAAGACAAAGTTACTATCTGAAAAATTTGACAAAAGGATCTTAATCATTTGTCAAACCATTATCATATAGCTTATAATTCCTGTTTGAAAAGACAAAACCAAAGATGAAACCAGTGAAACATATCTGATAACTAGCATGTAATTTGTAACAGTGCAGAGAGATATTTATCCTAAGCTATTTTCTGAATCCAAATTTTATTCTGAAAAGGAGAATCAAATTTTTTTGGATGAACAATATTTCCTTTTCTTTAAAAAATGTCTCCAAAACTGTTTGAAAATGTGAAAACTGAAGTCAAAGAGTAACTTCTTGCTGTGCATCTGAACCTTTCTGGGTAAGGCTAAGAAAGGTTCAGATGGCTAAGAAGTCACCAAATTGCTAACACTGTCCTAGGCTTCATTCACATGAAATGTCTATTTTCTAAATTCTATTTTCTATTCGCGGTATGTCTTATGATCACGGTCTGTGCCCTGAATATCCCNAGCAAAGAATGACAGATATATATATATATATATATTTTTTTTTTTTTGCAAAAAATTCTCAATTTAAGAAAATTTTAGCCCCTTTCACCAGGAAATAAAGGTCAAAGGTCAAATTCAAGGAAATATTTGAAACCTCCACATATGACTTTCGGTCAGGCATCTATAAATATTTTTCCCATAATTCCTTCGGTTTGGTAGATATTTAGCATTTAATTTTGCCAATTTTGGACAAGGGTGCATTGTGACGAGCACCACACCTAGACCCAAGTACCGACAAAGCCCAAATTTCACATAGATCAAGTTGAGATTATATGTGACCTACATACCAGAGATGGATAAAAGGTCTCTTGTATTCTAGGAGGAGAAGCAGTAACAAAGAAGTGGCAACGGAGCTGGCGGAGCCAACAGAGCCGGTGGACGCTAATGGTCCGAACTAAAACCATGTCTACCATGTGTACCAAATTGATCAATGACAATGAATAATCACTGTGATTTTGAAGCAAAATAGCAACATGTCACTTCCCAGTCATTGTAGTAACAAGAAATTGTCAAAACATGGCAAGCATATATGTATATATAAGGATGCAGGAGATGGCAATATGTGCAGATATTTCTGTGTCTGTACATAAAAAGCTGTCCATTCCACTGACTTCATTTTTATTTCATAACTGAACCAATTTAAAAGACTAAGAATAAATAATTATATAATCACTATCAGACATTACCAAAAAACAAACAGTTTGGTTATGGTTTTGTTCTAATTCAAGGTCAACATCCTCTACAAGACTGAATTATTTATATAAATTTGTGTATTTCACTGGCATCAATTTTGGAATTGATAGCTTTGTAATCTCTGGTGTACTTAAAAGCATTATAAATAATTAATTCAAATATCAACTTGATGTGAAACCTGCATGGCTATCATACACGTTTGATTCTCACAGAGCTGATGTAAAAAGGAGAAATAATTTTGTAATAACTTCTGAATTAAGTATCATCCAAAACCACCTGCATGTCAAAAACTACTTCTCTCAGCAGATATGACCTATTTCAAAATACTGAAAAAAATTGAAAAACTGCAACTATAATACTTGTAATAATGGACAATACAGTACTTACCATTTTTCTTGTAAAACAATACTTCTGTTTTAAGTTCCTTGTGATTTTCCAAGGCCATGTCGATTTCCATTTTTTTCTCCTCTTTGCTCTCTGGGCCGTACAAAAACTTACAGGCACAACTTTTTGACATGACCTGTGCCCGGGAGAAGCAAGTAAGTTCGCAGAATCCATCTGAACAGTAGACAATTGGATAGTTGATGGCCTGAGCATTTCCCAAGACAAAGTTACTATCTGAAAAATTTGACGAAAGGATCTTAATCATTTGTCAAACCATTATAATATAGCTTATAATTCCTGTTTGAAAAGACAAAACCAAAGACAAAACAAAGACAAAACCAGTGAAACATATCTGATAACTAGCATGCAATTTGTAACAGTGCAGAGAGATATTTATCCTAAGCTATTTTCTGAATCCAAATTTTATTCTGAAAAGGAGAATCAAATTTTTTTGGATGAAAAATATTTCCTTTTCTTTAAAAAATGTCTCCAAAACTGTTTGAAAATGTGAAAACTGAAGTCAAAGAGTAACTTCTTGCTGTGCATCTGAACCTTTCTGGGTAAGGCTAAGAAAGGTTCAGATGGCTAAGAAGTCACCAAATTGCTAACACTGTCCTAGTTCTGTGGCACGAAATAGAGTCCACTACAATATTTCTAATTAATAGTTGTGCCATAATGCAGAAGAAAAAATAATGGAAACGAGTGAAAGAACCATCATCAGACAGTTCACATTTAACAGACTTTACATGAAATAATAAGGTTATGTACAGTTAAAAACATCAAAGGACATTAATTTACTGTGCACCTTAATTGTGCAACTTATTCTCCATCATGTTTCCAAAATCCAGCCCATCACTCATTAATGCTCTTGGTATTAGGGATTCAGGAGGGATCGCACAACCTCCAACATCCAATTTCATTTCTCTGTTGTAGAATAGCTTTTGGTATATTCATTTTCCATGTACTTGTCAGCTGAAGTAGAGTAGGCAATTGCACAGGGAACATTTTCAAAAATACTTCAAATGATAAATCATTATGTTTGCTGACAGACCCAGGAGCTTACTACCCTAGTAATAAGGGGTGACCAGTTACAGGAAATATTAAAATACTTGTTTTGATGAAAAACATGTAATCTCAAGAGCATGAGATAGATGGGGAAAAATGCTACATTCGAAGGAATAATTAAAGTATAAAACCAATTCTGAGCATTAAGTAAATCAATCCATTTTCTAAGTCATTTTAATGGGTCATAGTCTGTAAATCTTCATACTGTATATAAATTATATATTTCTGTTGATTTTCATGTGAATAAATCCCTACTAGACCATTTTGGGCTACCCCCTCTTCTCCCCAAGGATATTTACTTTGCATTAATGCATCCTTTTTTTAGCAACATTATGTTGTATTCTTGAGAAATGACATTTGCTTCCACATTTCAGACATTACTAATGACTAATCTTTTTTGTGGTCCTTCTTCAATCAGTCAAAAAAAAAAAAAAAAAAAAAAAAAAAAAAAAAAAAAAAAAAAAAAANAATAGAATTTAGAAAATAGACATTGCATGTGAACGAAGCCCTAGTTCTGTGGCACGAAATAGAGTCCACTACAATATTTCTAATTAATAATTGTGCCATAAGGCAGAAGAAAAAATAATGGAAACGAGTGAAAGAGGCATCATCAGACAGTTCACATTTAACAGACTTTAAATGAAATAATACGGTTATGTACATTTAAAAACATCAAAGGACATTAATTTACTGTGCACCTTAATTGTGCAACTTATTCTCCATCATGTTTCCAAAATCCAGCCCATCACTCATTAATGCTTTTGGTATTAGGGATTCAGGAGGGATCGCACAACCACCAACATCCAATTTCATTTCTCTGTTGAAGAATAGCTTTTGGTATATTCATTTTCCATGTACTTGTCAGCTGAAGTAGAGTAGGCAATTGCACAGGGAACATTTTCAAAAATACTTCAAATGATAAATCATTATGTTTGCTGACAGACCCAGGAGCTTACTACCCTAGTAATAAGGGGTGACCAGTTACGGGAAATATTAAAATACTTGTTTTGATGAAAAACATGTAATCTCAAGAGCATGAGATAGATGGGGAAAAATGCTACATTCAAAGGAATAATTAAAGTATAAAACCAATTCTGAGCATTAAGAAAATCAATCCATTTTCTAAGTCATTTTAATGGGTCATAGTCTGTAAATCTTCATACTGTATATAAATTATATATTTCTGTTGATTTTCATGTGAATAAATCCCTACTATAGCATTTTGGGCTACCCCCTCTTCTCCCCAAGGATATTTACTTTGCATTAATGCATCCTTTTTTTAGCAACATTATGTTGTATTCTTGAGAAATGACATTTGCTTCCACATTTCAGACATTACTAATGACTAATCTTTTTTGTGGTCCTTCTTCAATCAGTCAAAAAAAAAAAAAAAAAATCAAAGTGTGTCTATCTATAGAGATCTTTTCCCAGTGAAACAAATTAGTAACAAAACCAATAACTGTACACAAGTTGTTTGCCAAGTAATTCATTAGTTTAGATCAGTAGTAACACTGGAAGAATAAGTTAAAATTTACAATACTTCAAACAATACAGAAAATCTGGGTTGATACCTGGATTTATATTTTTTGCCAAAAATAAAAATACAGTACATACTCTGAATAATTTCCCCTATTAGGTAACATGCAATATTCAGTCTGATAGAAATGCTGACTGAAAACCTATTTTAAACAGGAGATTGGTCAAGTTCAAAAAAAGATCCAAATAATTTTATTTGTAAATATTTTAATAATTTCTGCCATGGCCCAAAAGAGTTTGAGAGCCCAATAATGTGAAATCAACAAGCAACATGTTGATTTTGTATTTAACTGGGGCCTATATATATGCAAATCAATGCAGGCCACATTGATTTTCTCTCTATTTACTATATTTTGCATAGAGATGAATTTGAGTTATCAACCAAAATCAGCATCTGTATTATAAAATGAGTCTAATTTGCCAAATTTACAGATTTCAAGGATATTTTTCAAGAGTCATATCTGCCACTTACTTTTTTTTTTTTTTAATAATTTTTCTTTATTTTCTGAATACATAGAGGTTTCAGATTAGGACTACAAGACTACAAGTGCTCAGATCAGTTTAAATCCAGAAAATAAAAATTTATCAATACCAGTATGTGATGCTCTCTGCATTAATGAGCAGAGGTAAATATGACACGTTATTCAATCACACACACACACAAATGTGCAAGATGCAGAAAAAAAAAAAAATCACTCAAATAAACCAGCATATCAAAAAAGAAAAAAAAAGCAGACTTTCACAGATTCAGTCAGGTGATGAACTGGAAATGTTTGCAATGTTAAGTTCTCCATGGTGTAATAAGACAAAAGCTTTCATCTTGATATGACAACAGCCTACTAGCCTCTTACAAATACCCTTTTCTGAATATAAAACATTATTGAACATATCAAGTGTGAGGTGTTTGTATAAATCAAATTTTCCATCTATCATGATTAGTTGCTGTCAGTGTCTAGTGCCATAATTTGATTTATTATGGACTGGAGTTTGTTGCAACACTTAATATTTCTTAGATTAATACTTTACTTAAATCCAAAATGACTTTATGACCAAACTGTTAATCAAACTGATTTTTATTAAAGGAATAAACAATAATAGAAATCTGTTTTCAGTAAATGGACATATCAACAAAATTATATATAAGTAAAAACACCAAACAACACATAAAATCATGAGCTAATGTAAAACTGATAAAAAAGTTATCTATATATCTAATAATAGACATATCATATTTTACCAAAGGACTTGTGTAATAAATATTGTGCAAACCATTAATTATGCTGATTCATTATTATGCTACAGTACAAAACACCCAAACCCAATATAGAGGTGCATTTCACAATGTCACAAGTAAATTAAAATTGAATGGATTCGAAGTTGTATTCAATATATTAAAACATTTATATGTATATATAATTTCTATCACGGTCTTTGTGGGACCCAAAAACTATCAAACATAGTTTCTAATCTGTGCCCGAAAAGCGTACCTGTGACTTTATTTGCACCTCTAAATTGGGTTTGGGTGAAAAGCAAGTATCAATATCAGGAAACACAATTTATAGCCCCTAAATTAATTATTCAAAACGTCTCACTATAAGGACTGAAACAATTACTCAACGAATGCTTTTTATGCATCACTTTAAATAATCCCCCTCACACAACTCAGAAACCATCAATATGAGCTACTTTCATAAGTATTAGAAGAATTCTTAATTATTCTTCAATCAATTAGGATTTTCAAGCAGCCAATACAAATAAAGCCATGATATAGTGCCAGTCTCTGATTTTACAGCATATAATAATACATTTACATAATTGCTACTTGAAATAAGCAATGACAAATTGGCAATGGCATATATGGTCTAAGGAAGGTTGAACTGTACAAAGTTCTATTAACTGAGTTAATGTAGCTTCATGAAATTTGACACTTCCTTGAATTTTGGCAATTCCATTGACTGACAAGGCATATACTATAGCTACTAGGGCAGACTCAAACAAACAAACCACTGGCAACCAAATAAATAATTTGGGGGGGGGGGGGGGATGAATTTGTTCGAAATGTCAGCTGGTCAAATGTAATGGGCAACAGTCTCATACTGTTTTAGGCTTATGCTTTGAAATCTTGTTTCGTTGAAAACATCACAAGCTAACAAATAACAGACACTTCCAGTGACTGCTAGCTTTTCCTGTACTTTTATCACTGTCTAAATCATAGACAAATGCATAAAGTCAACATATATTTCAATGACTCCTGGTAATGTCCACAACCTCTGACAAGAAAGTTGTTTCTTGTTATGTTTGTTTCTGGTTATGTTTGTTTCTGGTTATGTTTGTTTGTTTGTCTGTTGACAGCATTTGCAAAAAGTTGTAGACAGATTTTGATAAAAATTTCAGGAAAGGCCACAAATGGGCCAAGGAAAAAATGATTAGTTTTGGGGTGATATGGATATCCACTGAAACAAGCTCTGCACCAAAGCTACACAAGCAGTAATAAGAAGTCGTGGCCTATAGTATACATCACAAACATTATTTACAAACTGTGCATGACCTGGGCCCCGTATCTTGAAAGCATCTCGCATTGCGGTTGTGCGCAAGCGTCTCGATTCCATAACTCGCCCATACTCGTCCCATAT